TGAGTGTACTAGTGGTGAGTGTAGTGGTGAGTGTAGTGGTGATTGTAGTGGTGAGTGTACTAGTGGTGATTGTCGTGGGGAGTGTACTAGTGGTGAGTGTACTTGTGGTGAGTGTACTAGTGGTGAGTGTAGTAGTGGGGAGTGTCTATTTGCTTGTGTTTTTCCCTTGTTATGGGACTTTATAGGATGAACGTTGAGATTTATAAGGGACACGGGGTAAGCAATAAGGGCTGAATTGGTCTGTAATAAGGTAGGGCAACTGATAAGGGCTTGACAGCTATGGAACGCCCTCTGGCAGGAGGTCACGGGAACAGATCCAGCAGGTTCCCATGGGTTGACCGACACAGTTGACTGGTCGACTCTCCAACGCACACACACACACAGAACTAAGTAGTAACTAAATTGGTTACGTTTTGTGTTACGTGACAAACCTCCCTTATTAATTGGCTGCGTCGGGGTTAGTGTTGGTGGCGGCTGGTTTAATGACGCGCATTTATATATTTACGCCAATGCCGTAATAATTATAACATATATGCTAAAAATGTCCCCCCCCCAAAAAAAATATTGCTATAAAAAATTGATCTGCTATGTGAATAAAACAACAATTTGCTCAAACTTGGCCACAATATCTGTACTCGTCTTCGTATAAATCAACGCATAGATTTCCGTTTATTTGATTGTGGTTACGGTTGTACTTTATTAATCCATAATCTCTGCCATTACATACAGTGAAACAAGAAACGTTAAAAAAGGTAAAAAAAAACCAGAGCAATGTAAATGCAACACAACTATTAGACGTTATTGTAAAAACAAACAAAAAAATGTCCACCCCATGTGTTCGTGAATTTTTTTTAAAATATATTTTAGGCAGGAAATTCGTTATTCAAATGTAGATATTTGTCTGGGTTGGGACCATCAGACACCCTGGAAGATTTGGTCCCCCCCCCCCCCCCCACAATGTTCACTCCATGGCTACGGCCTTGATTTTATGCGGTCTAACCCAGGGGTGGGCACATATTTTGACTCGCGGGCCACAATGGGTTCTAAAATTTGACAAGAGGGGCCGGGCCAGGAACCAGATGGACGGAGCGTTCGTGTGAACTAACTATAAATGACGCGTTAAAAATCATGACGTGAAAGGATTTGGCCTTTATAACAGGTGGCAAAGCGTTTATCTGCAAGGCAATTTAAACAAATTGCACGAACATGAACGATACAAAAAAACACGTCGTAGCGTGACTGATCAAACATCATGGAAACATCTGAGCCCTATACACCACACTCCCGGTCAAAGCGCGCCGTCTAATGGGGAAATGGGGGCATTACAGGAGAAAGGTAAAATTTAATTTAATAATAATAATAATATTTGGACAAGTTCGACGGGCCGGATTAAAAAGCCCAATGGGCCGATACGGCCCGGGGGCCCGTACGTTGCCCACGTCTCGTGTAGCGTGTAGTGTATAGTGTAGTGTGTAGTGTATAGTGTAGTGTGTAGTGTAGTGTGTAGTGTATAGTGTAGTGTATACGGCCTGGGGGCCCGTACTTCGCCCACGTCTCGTGTAGCGTGTAGTGTAGTGTGTAGTGTATAGTGTAGTGTATACGGCCCCGGGGGGCCCGTACTTTGCCCACGTCTGATCTAACCCAAACAAACGACGACTGATGCGACGTCTCCCTCTGTGGGTAACGGAGCGCCTTTCGTAGAACTGTGAGACAGGGACGGTTTATTGAATGGGCACGTTTTAAATTTAATATCGGCGGGAGGAATCTGATGTCCCAGTAGGGGACACAGGGTCAGGGCGTTGCAACAACAAACACCGCAAACACACGATCGGAGTGCAAAGTATGAAAAAAAGGTAACACAAATCACCAGACCCCCCCACCTCAAGTATGACGTCACAAAGCTCTACCCCCCCACCCCCCACACACACACACACACAAAAACATGCTTCAAATCGCTTTAAACTATTGTCATTGTAGTAGCGCGTATTTAATGTGGCGCTGCACTCTGATGTTGTGGGAGAAAACATTTATTTAAAAGTCTATTTAATTGATGTGACGTCACATTTCTCACTCACCCCCCCCCCCCCCCCATCATCACACATCGTCACAAATGTTTGACCCCTCCCCCCCTCCCTAGGTGCGTGACGTCATTTATGGACGGCCCCTAAACCATCCCCATCGTACCAGGCAAAGCCCCACCGAGGTATAAACTTATTTTTCAGAAGCGACCTGGCCATAAATGATAGCTCAACAAAGTGGCCCATGATTTGGACGTTTATAGCAGGCTAAATAAACTAAATAACCTGAATGCGTGTTTCTATTGTGTGTGTGTGTGGGAGGGGGGGGGATAGTGTAGTGGGGGAGCGGTAGTGTAGTGGTCAGCGCTATGTTGCACGAAGAATCTGGCGACCCTGGTTCGATTACCGCTCACGACCGACACCATTGACGATTGTCTGAACCGGTCCTGGGCCTCCCCTAGGTCGACTCAGCCTCACACATGAATACCTGGTGCTGCGCGTAAAAACATCGCCACTGGGGAGACAAAGGCGGCCGGGAATGGTGTCGGCCACCCACCCCCTCGTGTGCCGTGCCCGGCCTTCATAGGTGCTCGCTAGCAGCACTTGCCCCAACAGTCTGTTAAGGCTATACGGGGGATATTTGTCTTCGTAGCCCCAGGTTTCTTTTATCCTACACCATTAGCCCGGCAATCACCCACTCTAAAATAAACGCGGCAAACAACCGGCAACAATTAATGATAATAACACTGTGTGCCACAATTTCTGTTCCTGGGTAGTAAGTGTTATTTCGTAATTGCTTATGCCTAAAAAGTATAGAAAATGGTTATTATTTCCCAAAACTTTGCTTTTGTGAGCGGCGCAGTGACATTTGGTGGCCCTCAACAGGCAATCGAGCTCGGGTTACAGCTAGGTCCGTTGCGCAGCGCAGCTAACACCGCTGCTCCACCACTCCCCAAAGACAAATATCCCCCGTGTAGCCTGTAACAGACTGTTTGGGGCAAGTGCTGTTGACGAGCACGAGGGGGTGGGTGGCCAGCACCACGCCCGATCGCCTTGGTCTCCCTAGTGGTGACGTTTACACACCGAAGCAGGTACTCATTTGAGGGCCGAGTAGACCTAGGAGAGGCCCTGGAACCGGCTCAGTTAATCCTCACTGGTGTTGTGTGGCTGTGAGCGGGCAATGGAAATCGGGTCACAGCCAGGTTCGTAGCGCGGCGTAGTGCCGACGCAGCTACGCCGCCGCTACGCCACCGCTCCCCCCACGCACACATCACACACACATCACATATCACACACACATCACACACACACACATCACACACGTCACACACACATCACACACACACACACATGTCACACACACATCACACACACACACGTCACACACACATCACACACACACACATGTCACGCACACATCACACACACACATCACACACACACACGTCACACACACATCACACACACACATACATGTCACACACACATCACACACACATCACACACACACACATGTCACACACACATCACACACACACACATGTCACGCACACATCACACACACATCACACACACACACATGTCACACACACATCACACACACACACGTCACACACACACATCACACACACATCACACACACATGTCACACACACGTCACACACACACACACACACACGTCACACACACACACATCGCACACACACACGCACACACGATCACAACAAAAATAGCAACAAACCGTAATTCTCTCACCGTTGCCCGTCGCAAACGAAATAGGGTCCCGCGTTGCACGTCGAAGGGACCTTGCCTGAGAATATCTGGCAACTCGGCAGTATTCCTTTAGCTAATGAGACCCTGAAAGGTCAAAGCCAGGTGTAGAGGGGTTTTGTGCGTTTTGAACAATTGCCGCCGAGTAATCTTCGGTGTTTGTGCGAGCTGAACAGCTCGGCTGGCCTTGCCTGGTAAGATGATAAAAAAAGCAGTTTCGTTTTAATTTGACATCCGAGGTCGTCACTGCGTCGTACAGAGAACGCAGGAACGTGGAAGAGAGATCAGCAGACTAGCGCGACCCTCTCCGCCGACATACCCCAAGGACCCGAATGATTCGCGCTGGGCAATTAGCGTCGCTAACCGGTTGACCGACGGTTAAAGTTCAACTGTTGTTTACCCCCCCCCCCCCCCCCCCCCCCCAGTTGAGATACTCGGGAGGAGACCAGACAAACAAGCCAGCCTAAGCATCCCGGCCGCCCTCTTCTCTGTACGCACGGTCTGCCCTCCTATAACGCGGCGGGGGCGGTAGTAGTTACGTTCTCGAAGAAGGCCGCGTCATTGAAGAATCGCGTTATGATAAATAATGCACCACAAAGTAGCCGTGTCCACGATAACACCGTGAGATGCGTAATGCAGGCCGAACAAAGGCTGAGACGCGTGGGTAGCATATAGAAGCATCCAGCAGTATCCCAATGCAACACAAGCGTCCGTCATCAGGTGGTAAAGCTGACGACCGACGCTTGTGTTGCGCCCGAAACGTCGCGATTTATTTGATCTTTCTACCCACGTGACTTTACCGAAAGAGCCAAAGAGCATGGATTCCTGCGGTCACGAAAGCTTCAAATCAAGGATCTAAAAGAATGAGTTTTTTCAATAATAGATGATTTAAAAGTGCACAGCTCTAGTGGCCTCCTAATATCCCGGAGAGGCGAACCTGAGAGCGGGCGACGATGCGGTGACCACCTTCTTTGTTCAACGGCCTAGCCAAAAGCCGCCGCTACTGCTGCTGCCGCGAGGATGCCGAGCGGAGTCCGCGTGGCGATGGTTCGCGCGTCTTGACGAGCTCAGCGGCGGTTCATTTGCGGCGAGTGCTTCGTGTGCGCAAGTGAGCGGCCGACCTGAAATCTGGACTCCCGGCTGAGAACCACCCGGCTTCCACTCAACCAACCCCACTATCACACCACCCCCCCTCTCTCTCTCCCTTCTCAGTCAGCATGGCGCACCGGTGGCGTCTCAGTGGCGCGAGGTTCTCGGCAGGAGCCCGGAGCGCGACTCGACTCTGCTGAGCGCGAGCGACGGGCAAGAGGGAGCAGCGGGAGCGGAGGGAAGCGCGGGCGGGGAGGGAAGTGAGGGAGGCTGCAACCCAGCCCGCCGACTCAATCGTCTCCAACCCCACCACCATCACCGCCCCCCCCAAACCCCCCAAGTAAATGAAACGCACGCGGCGACACGAGCACCAACCACGCACCGCACCTCCGATGGAAGTTCGACACAACATACATACATACTTGCATGCCCTCCCCCTCTCCCCGCTCGTACCTCTGATTAGCCACGGTTGGCTCACGTAAGGTGCGAAATAAGTTAAATATATAATATACACACACACACACAGAGACGACGCACGGAGAGACCCACAATTTAGCACGGTTGGCTGACGTACGGTGCGAAATAAAATTTGAAGTTGCTTCGAATGTCTCGTGCGATGCGTGGAAGCGAACCTCGTGCTTTCTTTCTCGCCCACCCAACGCCTGTCCTTTTCGTTATTGTTGTTGTCGTTGTTGTTGTCATCGTCGTTGTTGTTGTCGTTGTTGTCATTGTTGTCATTGTTGTCATGGTCGTAAGCGTTGTCGTTTTCGTTGCTGTTATAATTGTTTTCATTGTCGTCGTCGTTATCGTTGACGTCGCTGTTCTTATTGTTGTTGTCATTGTTGACAGCATTGTTATCGTGGTCGCCATCATTGTTGTTGTCGTTGTCATCATCTTTGTTGTCGTTATCGTCATTGTTGTCATCGTCGTTGTCTCCCTCGTCGTCGTCGTCGTTGTTATCGTCGTCGATGTTGTCGACGATTATCGTTGCCGTCGTCATCGTTGTTGTCGTAGCCGTCATTGTTGTTGTCGTTGTCATCATCTTTGTTGTCGTTATCGTCATTGTTGTCATCGTCGTTGTCGACATCGTTGTCTCCCTCGTCGTCGTCGTCGTCGCTGTTATCTTCGTCGTCGTCGTTGTTATCGTCGTCGTCGTCGATGTTGTCGAGGATTATCGTTGCCGTCGTCATCGTTGTTGCCGTCGCCATCATCGTTGTTGTCGTTGTCATCATCTTTGTTGTCGTCATCGTCATTGTTGTCATCATCATTGTCGACATCGTTGTCTCCCTCGTCGTCGTCGTCGTCGCTGTTATCTTCGTCGTCGTCGTTGTTATCGTCGTCGATGTTGTCGAGGATTATTGTTGCCATTGTCATCGTTGTTGTCGTCGCCGTCATTGTTGTTGTCGTTGTCATCATCTTTGTTGTCGTCATCGTCATTGTTGTCGTCGTCGTTGTCGACATCGTTGTCTCCCTCATCGTCGTCGTCGTTGTTGTCGTCGTCGTCGTCGATGTTGTCGACGATTATTGTTGCCATCGTCATCGTCGTCGCCGTCGCCATCATCGTTGTTGTCGTTATCGTCGTCGTTGTCTCCCTCGTCTTTGTCGTCGTCGTCGTCGTCGCCGCCGTCGCCGTCATCGTTGCCGTCGTTCCGTTTTCTCCTCGTGGGCAGCCCCGAGGCCATGTGGGCCCCGCGGTGGACGGCGGCGCTGCTGGCCCCGCTGCTGCTGGCGCTACCGTGGGGCCGCGCCGACGAGGTGAGCTACCGCGTGCCCGAGGAGCTGCCGCCCGGCAAGCTCATCGGCAGCCTGGCGCGCGACCTCGGCCTCCGGGAACCCTCGGCCGCCGCCGGCGCCGCCGGTGGCACCGCTGGCGCCGGCGGCGGCGGCGGCGCCACCGGCGTGCGACTCTCCTACAAGGTCGGTTGCAACGCGCCGTGATCGATGTCATTCATAGCGAAAGTTATTGAAGATCGCGCGAGTATGAATGTGTCCCGGGATAGAAGTTTTTCTTGGGTTAGATCGCGCGGATGAAGATGCGTCATTTAAACCCGTCACCACCACCCCCGACGCAGCCGGTTAGCGAGGTTTGTGCTGCGTCAATAAGACGTGCCAAATCAAGCTGCTGGTTCAGCATCACCACCGGTGTGTGTGTCGGAGAGTAAACCCACAGCAACGTTTGAGAATTCGAGTTGCGTGATGTTGCGATGGCGATTACAACAGCAACAACAACAAACAACAACATCGACAGCAACCGGCTTCATCAGGCGACAGACAGAATTGTCGCGAAACCCTCTTGTTTCGCTCTTTAATAAAGGTGGGAGGTAGAAATGCGATGCTTGTCACTTGTGAGCCAATCAGGCGCAAAGACCAGAGAGGCGGGGGGGGGTTAATGTAGTCATGTAAGTTACAATCGATACCATTTACTGGTTTAGTTAGTCGCAGTTTATAAATGTGTCATTAACCCACCACCGCCCCGACGCAGCCAATCGGTGAAGGTTCGTCAGGTGAAAACCAGAAACGTGCCAAATTAGTTACGACCTCGGCACCAACCGGTTTGCTGGTGAGTATGAATGTGTCATTAACCCACCACCACCGCTAACCACCGCCACTACCACCACCGCCCCGACGCAGCCAATCGGTGAAGGTTCGTCAGGTGAAAACCAAAAACGTGCCAAATTAGTTACGACCTCGGCACCAACCGGTTTGCGCATCGGCGAGTAAACCCACAACAACGCTTCACAATTTGGGGGAGTGGGTGGCACGACGTTATCGCCGGAGATGACGACAACGACAACAACAATAACAACAAACAACAACAACAACAACATATTCTTGGTTCTTTCGGTAAAGTTACGTAGGAGGGAAACAATTAAAATAATAAAAATATAAAACAATAAAATTCTCACGACGTTTCGACTGCAACACAAGCAATCATCATCAGGTGTGAAAACCACAGCAAGAAAATTTGAAAAAAGTGGCGGTTTTTGTAACGTTAGTAACACTGAGAGCGATTCCACAGTTTGTTCAGATGGACGAGTCCATCTATGTTCGGAAAAGAGGAGGGGGGGAGACGAAAAATAATGGATGCGGTCTGAAAGCCACCTTAAGCATGATCAATCAATTAAGACCGGAAATGGTTGATCAAATCCTTCCAATGATTGCTAAGCCGCTAGAATCCATCTTCTCTTTTCCGAACATAGATGGACTCGTCCATCTGAACAAACTGTCAAATCTCTCTCCGTGGTGCTAACGTTAAAAATAACCGCCACTTTTTTCAAATTTTCTTGCTGTGGTTTTCACACCTGATGATGATTGCTTGTGTTGCAGTCGAAACGTCGTGATAATTTTATTGTTTAATATTTTTATCATTTTATTGTTTCCCTTCTACGTGACTTTACCGAAAGAACCAAGAATATGAATCCCTGCAGTCACGAAAGCTTTACATCAACAACAACAACAAACAAAAACGTGCTATTGCGTGTGGTCGTTGCACAAGTGCGTTACGATTAACAACATTTTGAAGACGTACGCATTCCTCGGTTCGCTATTTTCCAGACAGGGGCTGATTTGTGGGGTTTGTTTTGCTTGCCTTTGGAATGACCTTGTAATGGCTGGAGCTCAACAAAGACGCGTGCAAAGCCGCACTATTAATTTGCAATGTGTTTAAAAAAAATATATAAACAACAAACAGCCCGCCAGCCTCTATCTTACAGGGCTTAAACAAAAAAAAAATATGCAGGGTGCTTAAAAAAAAAATGTTAACACTCACGTGGGACTATCGTTTTTAATGGGAAAAGAACGGACGATTCTACGCAGTAACGTGATAACAAATGTCGTGTTAATAGCTTCAAAAAGTCACAGAGTCTCCAACTCGTTCGCCATCGTTGTCAACGTGTGCCCTGGAATCTTCTCCAGGTAGTCTCTAGAGCCCCCCGGGGAGGCAGCAACATTTTCTCGTGGTGCCGTTGAAAATTGTGAGAAGTGTTCAACATTCTTTTTGAAGCACCCTGTATAGTGTTAATGATACACAGGGGGTTCTTCAATTTTTTTTTGTTAAAACACTTATTATGAAACTATCGTTTCTTAAATGGAAAAATAACGGATAATACACCGTAACGTGATAACAAATGTAACGTTAATAGCTTCACATCGTTATTCTTGGTTCTTTCGGTAAAGTCACCAAGAAGGGAAATAATAAAATAATAAAAATCTAAAACAATATTAGTTCCTATTCTTGGTTCTTTCGGTAAAGTCAAGTTGAAGGGAAACAATAAAATAATAAAATATATATAAAACAATAAAATTCTCACGACGTTTCGACTGTAACACAGACATCATCACTGTTTGTGTTACAGTCGAAACGTCGTGAGAATTTTATTGTTGTATATATATTTTATTATTTTATTGTTTCCCTTCAACGTGACTTTACCGAAAGAACAAAGAATATGAATCACTGCAGTCACGAAAGCCTAAAATCAAAATATTGTTTCCCTTCTACGTGGTGACTTTACCGAAAGAACAAAGACTATGAATCCCTGCAGTCACGAAAGCTTTAAATATATATATATATTTTAAAACTTCACATCATTGTCAACGCATTTCCTGGAATCTTCTCCCAGTTGATGTCCAGAGGAACCCCCGACCCCCCCCGGGAGGCACATGTCGCGAGTCTTGAAGACGTTATCTTCTTGAAGCACCCCTCGTCAAATCTACATCTCTCCCCCCCCCCCCAACAAAGGTGGTGTCCAAGTCGGACGGGCCCCCCATGGTGCGCGTGGACAACGCCACGGGCGACGTCTTCACCACGGAGGCGCCTCTGGACCGTGAGCGCGCCTGCCCGGGGCCTGCCGAGCGCCGAGACGGCACGCCCTGCCACGTGGACGTGCAGGTCGTGGTGCTGCCCAACGAGCACTTCCGCCTCGTCAAGGTGGGGTCGCGTTAGGGTCGCGCGGCGGGGTCGCGTTGGGGTCGCGCGGCGGGGTCGCGTTGGGGTCACGTTGGGGTCACGTTGGGGTCACGTGGGCTGTAACGCGGTGTCACGTGGGTCATGTTGGGTCACGTGGGCTGTAACGTGGTGTCGAATGAGTCATGTTGGGGTCACGTGGGCTGTAACGCGGTGTCGCGTGCGTCACGTTGGGGTCACGTGGGCTGTACCGTGGGGTCACGTGGGCTGTAACGTGGTGTTGCGTGGGTCACGTTGGGGTCACGTGGGCTGTAACGTGGTGTCGAGTGGGTCACGTTGGGTCACGTGGGCTGTAACGCGGTGTCACGTGCGTCACGTTGGGGTCACGTGGGCTGTAACGTGGTGTCACGTGGGTCACGTTGGGGTCACGTGGGCTGTAACGTGGTGTCGAGTGCGTCACGTTGGGTCACGTGGGTAGCGTGGTCCCCAGTGGGTTTGCCCTGCCCACCGTAACATGCGTTTAGAGTATTTGGCGTATATATATATGTGTAGTGTTGTAAGGACGAGCAGACTTCTTAGGAGGCACACTCTGTTTATTGTATTATTTCCTTATACAATGCTTAACACACACAGAGGGATATTCGGTCCCCTCACCCGATACCCTAGGGAGGTACAGCCTCCGGACTTGGCGGGACTCACACGTCTACCGCTAACCTCCTTGATACCTAAGGAGGTACAACCTCCGGACTTGGCGGGACTCACACGTCTACCGCTATCTTAGTCCTCCGGCTAGGACCTAGGGGAGGCTATCTGACCCACCGCTGGCCCGGTGGGTCCTGACCACTGGGTATGCCGAGCCTTAGCCCTTAGAAGGGCTGGAAGGGTAGTCCAGGGTCCCTAGCTAGGCTTCAGCCCAGTCTTCTATCTTCGTGCAGGGAGAGAACTCCCCGAGGTCCGTTGGGTCACCCGTCTTATACTCCATCGTGGCCAGGCAGAACCAATCATACATTCCCACGTGGAACCGTCTGATTGGTTCATACCAAACCCTGGCTACGATCCGTTTCACCTCGACTGACCCCAACCCTTGTACCCAGGGGTAATGCTGCACTGCCCTGGTGGCAATGCAGGTTACGCAACAGCGCGTAGTTAATACCTCTACATATACCTCTACATATGTGTCCTCGTGATGATAAGCCACTTCGTTGAGCTATCAATTGTGATCGCCAGGGTCGCTTCTGAAAAGTGAGCTTTACGTAACTCAGTGGACCTTACCTACCATCGCCATGGTAGTGTGTAGCACACGTTGCTTTTTAGCCCATCGTTGCCTACCAGCCAGGGACGGAGCCAGGATTTTGACCTTGGGGAGGGGGGCTGACTTCAATATTGAGAGATATCTCAGTGTTTATGTTTTCCAATGGGCGTCACAAATGGCATAAAACAAATTTTATTGGATTTGAACGCGGAGTTTATTAATAGGTCGGAGCCTCTGATGTGGCTGATTAGTTCGATAAGTTCGAAAGGCTGTGGCTCAAGCAGCCTGCAGGGCAGCACACAAGGTAGCAGCCTGCAGGGCAGCACACAAGGTGGCAGCCTGCAGGGCAGCACAAGGTGGCAGCCTGCAGGGCAGCACACAAGGTGGCAGCCTGCAGGGCAGCACACAAGGTGGCAGCCTGCAGGGCAGCACACAAGGTGGCAGCCTGCAGGGCAGCACACAAGGTGACAGCCTGCAGGGCAGCACACAAGGTGGTAGCCTGCAGGGCAGCACACAAGGTGGAAGCCTGCAGGGCAGCACACAAGGTGGCAGCCTGCAGGGCAGCACACAAGGTGGCAGCCTGCAGGGCAGCACACAAGGTGACAGCCTGCAGGGCAGCACACGAGGTGGTAGCCTGCAGGGCAGCACACAAGGTGGCAGCCTGCAGGGCAGCACAAGGTGGCAGCCTGCAGGGCAGCACACAAGGTGGTAGCCTGCAGGGCAGCACACAAGGTGACAGCCTGCAGGGCAGCACACGAGGTGGCAGCCTGCAGGGCAGCACAAGGTAGCAGCCTGCAGGGCAGCACACGAGGTGGCAGCCTGCAGGGCAGCACAAGGTGGCAGCCTGCAGGGCAGCACGAGGTGGCAGCCTGCAGCATTTCACAGCAGCCGGATATCCGGTTATCCCGATTACCGACTTTCCCAAAATTTCAGGGGGGCTGAGCCCCCCCCAGCCCCCCTCCCTGTGGCTCCGCCCCTGCTACCAGCCCACACCCCGCCCCCACACTCACCAAGCCCCCCCCCTCCCTCCATGCCCCGCGTCTATATAATCCCTCGTCACAGCCATCTCTGAGACACACTTTAAGCACTTGTGCTTTCGCTCCATTTTCCCCACCTGAAGAAGGGCGCTCTTGTTGCGCCCGAAACGTCGTGATTTCACTTCGTTGTTTTTTATTTATTTATTCTTTCATTTAAAAGTTTTTCCTTACGTGACTTTACCGAAAAAAAACTTACCCCGGTAAAATAAAAATTATCTTTTTTTTTTTGCGGGGGGCTCACGTTTCAAGTTGTAACTCTCTCTCTCTCTCTTGCTCAGAGTGAATTGAACAGACAAATCTAATGCTTCCTTCTTCGGCTTCTCTCTCCCTCACCAGCCCTTCTGTAATTCACACGTTCCCTTACACTCGCGCGTCTGGAGAGATGACCGCAGTCGCATTTATAAACGGCTAGATAAATATAATCCGCGTCACAGTTCCACTTGAGTTAATTATCATCACCTCACGCACGCACGCACCAGCAAGCATACACCGCACGAGCCTTTGGCCTTAATGTAAAACGGAACCCCCCGGCTAAGCGGAAAAAAATTATCCGCCCCCCACCCCCCCCCCCCCCCGGTACAACAGCAATCCTCGATTGCTAATTGCCCAGTAATTTTTTTTGCCGACATCCGCCGTCCGTCACGTGGCTCGCGAGAGGTGTACGCCTTAACCACCACCCCCCCCCCTCCACGTCACAATAGCGGCAGTAGTGACGTAAGGGTTAGAGAGTGTGTGATCGTCGAGTCAAAAGCAAACAAAAATTATCCTGGGGCAAAAAAAAAATATATATAAAAAAATCCGATGATCCGTCAAGCTCTGTTAGTCACAGATGGCCTGGCGTGACGGATAGCGGCACGCCGGGCTGGGCCACGTGCTTCACCCCCCAAAACCCTCTCCCATCTTCTCCATGCCGTCGGCGGTCATTGCCAACGGGGCCATTTGTGCTCGTGCTGAACTTCCTCTTTCGCGCCGTACGTTAGCCAGCCCCGGCGGCTAATCGGAGGTGCGGAAGGGAAGGCCGAGACAAGCGAAACGCACACACATACACACACACACGCAAAAAAAATCATTTCTAAAGAGAGACCACACTTCGCTCAGCTGGTCAGTGGATCGAGACCCACCCCTCCCCCCCCCAACAAATAGTACGACCCGTGGCGGAGTTTCGTTTCAGCTCCCCCACCCCCTCGTCCTCCACCCCTCGCTTTCCCCACCACACCCCCTCCCCCCCCCAGCCCCCCACCAACCCGCTTCATCACGAATCCGGCCTCGATGGCGCGTAATTAAGGGATGCAAATGAGGGCGACCGTCAGCCGGCAATCAATGCCCCCCCCCCTTCTCCTCCCTACATGTAGTTAACAGCTTCCCTAACCGTGTCATTTTTTTGTGTGCCTGCTGGAGGGAGGGAGGTAATATTTGGGTGTAGCAGACGCCGGGGGTGTAAGTGAGGTTAATTGGCCTCAATGTATATATATATAAAAAAAAGAATAAATGTGTTATAATGAATATATGAACAATAATACTTTTTTTTAATATGAAAGAAATATATATACACAAAATAAATATATAAAAACATGTAAAGAAGAAAAAACATTAATAAAAATAAGATAAATAAATAACTATATCGGGATTTTTATAAAAAGAATATGAACAAAAATATTGAAAAACGTAATTAAAAAAATACACGTAATTTTGTTTAAATAAAAAATATAACGTAAAAACATATTGAAAAGAATGTTTTTTTTTACAAACATTGAATAAACATATAAAAAAATATCAAACCAAAAACGGTACAAATTTGTGTAAGAAAAAAAAATATGTCATTGTTATTTTTTTTGACTTACCAAAAAGTCTCAACCGCCGTCCAAAATCTCGCCGTCGATGCACTTGGCAAACGCAGGAGCGGGCAGATTCTCCCGTCGTTCTCACTGACGATCGGTCGGTCGGTCACCCTGGCAGTTGCGTTGATGCCGTGGTGCACATGGCCGTGTGGGTTTGAAAAAAAAACAGAAATAGATATATACACGCGCAAATGTTTTAACTTTTTTTTACCTTTAGCCGCCGTCTTTTGCGCTGTCGTAAGCTTTCGTAGTCGTCGGCGCGAAACCCTTGGGTGTCAGACGGCGGTCCGCACAAGCGGATATCACAGATCTACTTCTGAGATCGCCTTCTTCTTCTTCTTCAAGTGACACTCTGGTACACACACAGAACGGCTCGTGGAAGTGGATATCACAGATCTACTTCTGAGATCCCTTCTTCTTCAAGTGACACTCTGGTACACACACAGAACGGCTCGTGGAAGTGGATATCACAGATCTACTTCTGAGATCGCCTTTTTCTTCTTCGTTAAGTGACACTCTGGTACACACACACAGAACGGCTCGTGGAAGTGGATATCAAATATCTACCTCTGAGATCCCTTCTTCTTCTTTAAGTGACACTCTGGTACACACACAGAACGGATCGTGGAAGTGGATATCACAGATCTACCTCTGAGATCCCTTCTTCAAGTGACACTCTGGTACATACACGGAACGGCTCGTGGAAGCGGATATCACAGATCTACCTCTGAGATCCCTTCTTCAAGTGACACTCTGGTACACACACGGAACGGTTCGCGGAAGTGGATATCACAGATCTACCTCTGAGATCCCTTCTTCAAGTGACACTCTGGTACACACACAGAACGGCTCGTGGAAGTGGATATCACAGATCTACCTCTGAGATCCCTTCTTTAA